AAAATGCGAAAAATGTAATATAAGCGATAGTTAATTTTGTTAATGTCGAGCTCATCTATGTACAATCAATCATATAAACGGTATTTATAATACAAGATACTTTACCACGTATTTGTATAGGAGCATACAACATCTCTTTAATTCAGAGAGTTCCAATAATACGTAATTTGCGTTACTTATAAAAGTGACCGTGTTTAAAACAAAAATATTGGTCTAAGAATTAAGGTACAATTTAAAAATACTACTAATTTATTAACTTAAATAATAAAGCAAGATACTTACTAAGCAAATACAGTGTTAATTAATTTATATTGTCCTTACGACAATTTATCTTATTTCTTTAATTTACCAGTTTGTTAACTGAAGTTTACTGAAACTACAATGTCATTTGTATACATGAGTATAAGCTATAAACTAATTATTTACTATTCATTTTTGCTGTATTATTTAAGCCATATAAAGAGTATTTTATTACAGTCTTACATTCTAAGTTGACAGCACTGTTTCTGTGTTACAACTAACTATTGTTAAATGGTTAATGACATACATTTTTGTTAATTAATTACAGCCAACATGCAACAGTTTTGGTTTCCCTAAGACTATATTACATACGTACGACACAATCAGAGTATTACAGAAAATATTGGATGGCCTTTAAAGTACACATAATGGTTTGTAAAATTGGTATTCAATTTATCTCATACGAAGGTATGTGAAGTCACTGAAAACCAACATTTGCAGATCTAAACTATCCGAAAGTTAGACTCCCAGATTGCATTAATAATATTTATCTATTTATTGAACCCATTCTTGAAAACACTACAACTAATTTCAAAAAACAATACTCTAAAAAACCCTTTTATATGATGTTTAATATAAAATAATATTTAAAAAAATATTTAACAAAATAATATATTGCAATTTTGTACTACATAATTAGGTCAAGTAATTATTACGCTAGTAGGTTAACCTTCCTTTTGTGGATTCAAAACGGCTTTCCTTTTTCTTTTAGCTAATTGGGGAGGACTCGTCCTTCCTCCATCACAACTAACTAGGTTAACCTTCATATGTGCAAAGTTTTTTTCGGCTTCAAAATAAAGACTATTTATGAAAAATGCAGTTAAATTAATTATTAAAAGTATTCTGAATAATAGTTAATTAGTTCATAATAGTTATTAGTAATTTATTTTATAATAGCACAGGTTCGCCTACAGATACATATTAATTTAAAATATATCTTATGTATTTATAACGTCATATTTTTTTTCTATATATTATATAATATTTATTTTTATAATAAAATAATTTGAGAAATTTTTGATGTGTATTATACAATACGATATTGGAATTGTACTCGCTCTAGAGATAGATTCACATGCAAGCCTAAGCATTTTGCACAATTTTTAAATTTTTCATTGTTGTTTGCAAATGCTTTTCTATTTTAAAAATCGAAACTTTTGTAAATTGTTTAAATTAATAATAAGAGGTTGAATATGTACTTACAGGGTGTAATTTGTTTTTACTTTTCAAAGTAGTAGAATTAATTATTAGAATTAAATAACATATATTCTAAAATAATTATTTCTAAGAACATTTTTAGTACAGTTTACTGTAAATAATCCTAATTCAAAATTACAAGAGCTCAGAAAATATCGAAATTTAGCAATTTCTATAAAGGATATAACTACATAACTTAATGTTAATATATAGAAACTTAAAAACTGTTTTTATTGCCACAAGTGTCATAAAGGTTTAAGTAACGAAAACACTATTAACAGGAAATCGTTGAAATAAATACTTAATTTTATTATTGCTAAAACATGAAGTAGAAAAAATTTTAATTAGCATTCAGTAATTACTTTTGATGATCTCATGGAATCTAAACCTTCTATTATTATAAATAAATATGATGTACTCAGGCTATGCTAAGGTATTAGCCTGAACCCATTTCAGTATTTGTTATATGCCTCTAATCTATCATTTTATGACCTATATGCATAATAAAATTCGTATTCAATTAATTCATTAAAAATATCATTAAATAAAATTCATTGAGTTTATATTAATTAATGATTTAAAAATTTTGCCTAATTAATGAAATGCTATCACGCTTTATATGACGCTCATATAAAGTGGGAGATGCACGAACAAAAAGAAAGTTAAAGTACTTAAATTATGAGATCAGCAGACTTAACCCTATCAGCGAAATCATACTGCGTAAATGGCATTTTGTTTGTCCTACCAATAATTAATAAATTATTTTATTAATTAAGGTCAAATGAACTTGTTATATTATAAGACGTAACACAGAGAAAATTATTACAATCAACCTACCGAGGAATAAAAACAGATAATAATCACGTAATGGACTTATATATGATGTGAGCAATAACTTAAAAAGAATAGATAACAATAACTAAAAAGATTTGTAAACTGAAGATTAATTAATGATAATTATGTGCGTTTTTATTGACACATACAATAATTTAATTTCAATTATGCTATTGTAAAATGTATTTTCTTATAAGAAAGTCCAAGAACGTGTAGATAGGAAGTATGATATAAAACGTAAGCTATACAAATTAGATATTTAACCAAATTTAATTATATTATTTTACTATAAATATATTAAAACATAGTTGAAAAAATCATATAGATAACTTACACAAATATGAGATGCACTATATGCAGATGTACTATAATGTTGCAGCCTGAGTCCAATTCAGTATTTGTTGTATACCTCTAATCTATCATTTTATGACCTATATACATAATGAGATTCATATTCAATCAATTCATTAAGAAATCATTAAATAAAATTCATTCAGTTCAGTACATATTAATTTCTAATTTAAAAATTTAGCTTAACTAATGTAATGCTATTATGCTTTGTTTAACACTCAGCAGGAAGACGCATGTACAAAACAATAATGGAAAGCACCTAACCTATGAGGTCAAGCGATGTTTACTTTCTTATCAGCAGGCAATTATTCCTATCAACGAAGTCATGTTGCATAAATGGCATTTATTTGCGATACTATTAACTAATAAATATTAAATAAATATTAAAATTAATCACATTATAATTTTATTAATTGCATGAATAAAATTGAGAAAATCATCAACTTTGAGGATATTTGATTAAGGATATTGATATGTACACTATGAAGCATACGTGGATTGCTCGGTGATGACAACTTAAAAGAATTACTAGTGCGGTAGATTTCTTGGAAATATAGAACAACTGATTTTAGTTTATAAATACTCGTACATGTATCTGTATTTTCTTTATATATCAATTGAAACTAATCGAGAAGGCATACTAACTCGTTGTTAGTATGCCTTCTGTTATATACTAGTTGTAATTATATAAGGTATCTGTAATTATAGTCAAAAAACAAAATAATTCTTGTATTACCCGGTTTTTTTAAATTTTTATCTTAAATTAAACAGCTTAACTATTCTGGTATGACGATTGTAAACACATTTTGCAAATCTTCAATACCCACAAATTTAACAACTTGCACGCCTAACCAGCGACGAAAGTTGAAGTATTTCAAATGCGAAACAAAATTGCAATCTGTTCATCAACTTTATAGGGTTTGGAAATGTATATATTATATATTATAAAAAAAAAAGTGGAAGAAGGCAACATTTTATTAGAGTTGCCTACGTGAAGTGCGATAAGTAATTTCTGTGAAATTGTATTGGTAAGCGTGCACTTCTTTACGTGCCGAAATAAAAATAAAATTAAAAATAATTTTAGTTTCTGTATTTTTGCAGTAATATTTGTTGTCGAATGTATGCGTGTCCAGTTGTTAATATATTTGCTACAATAGAGATTGTGCGATATATAATAGATGCAATAGCTCTAAATGTACTTCTGATAAATGTGTAACTACGAAGCATTATGAAGTATGTGTGTCCACGTGCATTTTTTGTGGGAAGCTAGGAATATATTTGCTTTCACTATTTTATCTAATAATTATATATGTTATTTTATATAAAAAGAAATGTTGAACACACCTTTATTAAACTCATGCACTTGTTTTATTTCAATGAATATGTATTTAG